ATTACACTGAAAAGCTGCAAAACGCGATCTTTTCTTTTTCACATTCGCGACAAACACACTAATTCTTCTTGTTTTGCCATTATAGACGATGCAAAGCAGTGGTATCATGATTTCTTATCAGATTGTAATCAGTCCAAGTACTTGCAAAATTGGAGAGACGAGGTCTACACCTCAGAAAAGCTTCAATGAATGGTAGTGGTTTACTGTACTGCGATAACAAACGGTGAAGACAGTTAGCCTACGGCGAGCAACAACAACAATTTGCTGGTTGTTTTAGTGACACAACCAAAAAATTCCCCCGCAGTTGATATACATGTTGCGCTTGAAGCTATACCCTGATGAGCAGAAATCATGAATGCTGAATGTGTTTGTTCCACTGTCAAGGAAATTTTCCTAAGATTTTTCCATCACAAAAAAAAGGCAAACAAATCCCCGTATCTAATGGGATCCTATCAAATTTGGTGTGAAGCCAAACGCGATGCACACAACTCCTTTGAGACACATGTGATGTTTATTCTGATCAGTTTTAGTTTCTAAACAGAAGACTCACCAACTGTTGCAGCGTGCAAATCTTGCTCGAAATAACGCAATCCACACAGAACATGCTGTATCCACACCAAAGCTATGCGATAATTTGTGTCCATTGAATCTCCCTTTCGAGTAGAAGCAGCGGTGAAGCTTGCCTTTATCAGAGATATCAAGTCATCTTCTAGTAGGATTTCACGATCTTGCTGGTACTGGAAACAGGCAATTAGCTCTAGGATTTGGCAAAGCTTTGAGATATATAGGCGCAAAAAACCACCTCAGAAAAGAACTCTTCAATCTCCAGCTCATCCTTTTCCTCTTCTGTTTTGTTCTTGTAGACAAAATCTTTTTCCGCGGCTTTCGCTATGTTTTTCTCGTACCTGCAAACTCTTTACCTTAGAGCTACAGAAAATTTGCTCAAAAACACTGACCATTTTTGCCATTGACGTCTCGTCCATTCTAGATCAGATATAGGGTCTACGCCGAGAGAGACCCTGTGCCGTACCACTGCCGCTTTGAGACGTAGAGGCATAGGTGAAGCATCTCGAGAAGCCCAAGCAAGCAATTCCGGGCTTTGTAATCCTTCGTCGGAAAGCTTGAGCTAAAGCGACAGTACTATACTTGGATTCGGTGTTCGTAAAATCTCTGCTCTTGAACTATTCATAACCAGAGATTGAATGATTCAACCATTATGGGTTCAAGCCTCCAAAGTCCCTATGCAATTCTCTCT